TAGAGTGTTTAAAAATGCACACAAAGCAATATAAAAAGTGAGACAAACAATTAACATTTCAATTTTGTGATTTTCTACTTAAACTTTGCGTCGCCATTTATTGCACTTGTCAGAGAGTTGTTGGCGCTATTTTTTGCTGGAGTTTATGTTTTTGTTGTTGTTGTTGTTGTCGCTGTGGCGACTGTTGTTGCCACCGATGTTGCACGCTTCGCAATTGCCAGTGAAATTCATTAGCGCCAACGGCAAGCAGCAAGCGGCAAGTAGCAAGTGGGGCACCTGCTTCGAGCTGCTGTTGTTGGCTATGATAAGGGGCGTGGCAGCTAGCTGGGCTGTAGCATGGGCGTGAGTGGTGGCAAGGGGAAGCAATTCACGTGCCACGCGCATTATTGCAAACAATTTGCCCTGTTTGTGTAGTGGACAAATGACAGGCAGCCAGGCAGACAGACAGACAGACAGACAGGCAAGTCGAGGGGCAGGCAGACAGGCAACAAAAGGGCAAAGCACAATGACAGAATGGCGACTAAAGCCAGCGTTGGCAATCGGAAATGTTGCCAAAGTTCTATGGCAGTCAGACGCACACACACACACACACACATGCACATATAAGCACACACAAGGCTAAAGCACACACGCAGGCTCGCTGCCACGACGCCTCGCAGGCATACATAAAGCACACACGCACACACAGACACACACTCTCGTATGTAGTTGCATGCAGTCAGTCGTGACTCTGTGTGGCTGATACCCGGCCCCCTCCCCTTCCCTTTGCAGCTTGACTTCGCCCTTTTGGCCTGCAGTGTTTGTTTTAATTTAAATAAATGAGCTTAAGCCTAAACCTTTAAGGCCTGTGCCTGCCGCTGCCCATTTGCTGGCATTGTTGTTTTTGCCCCCGCCCCCGCCGCTGCCGTTAGCTCTGTGAAGTTACGCCCACGTGAACGCCCACAACGTCATCGTTCTGTCGAGGTGCAAGATTCAGCAAGTGCTCAGCACTTTCAAGTCAAATTGCTGCGCCGCTTAGAAGCGTCGGTCATTTAACGTTTGCCGTTTGCCGTTTACCATTCACCATTTGCCATTTACCTTTTACCTTTTGGCTGACCCTCCCTTTGGCCGGGAGCTTTCGTTCTGCTGCGCCTTAACAGCGCACACAACATCGGCATTTGAGACATTTACCTTGCAGCTGGCAGCCGGGCGCAACCGGGCGCAGCACCAGGCTCAGCTGTCAGCCAGCGACTCCTGTTGACGGTTATAGCTCAAGTGTTTGCCCGCCTTGCTATGCCCGTTGTGCCCGATGTGCCCGTTGTTATACCCTAAGCCCATTTAGAATGGGTATAAAGGGTATAATGGTTTTGTGAGCATGTGTGTAACATACATATAAATTATCTACATATACTCTTGATCACGACAAATTAAGTTGATCGATCCGATAACTATCACAACTAGAGACTTGAGCTAGAGAATGCATATTCTCGTGAGTATATCAAACGGAACACGTGCTTATAATTTAAACAACGTTATATTCACCTATTTCCATAACTTGCCAGACTTGCTTTACTTGAAAATTATAATTAAACACAAGATTTTTTATGCATTATTCTTACATAATATACACAGATTAAGACAAAATGTAGTTAGCTATCTGTTTGGGTTTAACTTAATTTTAAGCTGGCCGACTCGAGGTCAATGTTGGTCATAAAGGGCAACAGCGACAAGAGATAGACATTATAGTTATAATTATTTTAAGTATTATCATAAGCAGGCTTTGCTGCTGACTCTTTATTTGCAAGGGCTTATTCTCAGTCCGAAGCTTTAACCACTTGAGAATTATAAGCAACAAAAAGGCAGCAAAGCTTGCAAAACCGACGCCTAATCTTGTATTTATACTCCTGCGTTATACACTGTACTTACGGAAGAGCGTCGTTCTTTCTCAGAAGAAAAAGATTAGGAATATATCAATTTGGATACACTCGAAAAAAAAGTTCCCTAAACCGCCATTATTTAAGAAATGTTCTAAATTTCAGAAAATGCTCCTATCTTGAAAAAAGTGTGTTCTTTCATAGAAAAGACGTCCCTTAAATAGACATTTTTAGAAAATATTTTTAGAAACTATACAGACTTCACAATAAACTGAAAAAAAATAATTTTATTCTTAAAGGTAGCCTTTTTTTATCTTCACACAATGAGGTGCCATATTTAAGTCTAGAAAAGTTCATAATGATCGGACTCTAAAGACCGAAGCTAATCGAAGGTTGCGTGTTTCTTTATTGCAGCTTGTCGTTGGGTACAGCGTATCTGCTAGTCGAGCAGTGCCGACAGAGCACTCTTTCCCGTTGTTGCTGTTGTTCGCGCTGGTGTTGTTTTTGCCAGCTGTGCAACTTCAAAAGGATTTGGCCCCGTGTTAGTTCGCCTTTGCTCTTTTTGTTGCCGCCGGCTGAGCTGCCACTTTGCCACAAAGCTTTCTCACTCTCTCTCTCTCTCTCTCTCTTTCTCACCCATGTTGACTCCCCCGCTGCCGTTCTGCTGCAATGGGCTTGCTCGGCCAGCTGCTGACTTACCTTGCAGCAACTGCGCTGATTTGCAGTTTCTTCTTTTCATTTGTTTGGCGCAGTTTTTCGCCATGTTTTTTGTTTACACGGCAAATTTATTTATGTTCGCGCTGCGCTACATTTTTGGGGGCCATTCTTAAATATTCCCTTTCTTAAGTGCGAAGATGCAAATTTGTTTTTCCTGACAGCTGCAAAAAGCAGCAGCAGAAAACGAGTTGGTTCCAAACACAGTTGTTAAAGTTGATGAGTTGAAATTTAATTTAAATTTTAATTTGCACTTGATCTTAAATGGTTGCGGATTATCTGCCACAGCGAAAAATTGAAGGCCTCTCTCTCTCTCTTTGTTTCGAACTACAATTTTGAAACTTTTTGATTGAACTGCAGGCAGCATTTAGTTTTGTTTTAGTTCATTTTATTGTCCAAAAAGTTGTGTGATTATGCACTTAAGAACAATATAATGTATATACTGCAGCGCGAAACCCGCCGGGAATAAAGCATAAATAGTATATACATAAATGTATATAATCCAAATTACATACAAACTCTTTTCCAATATTCACTTTTTCCTTTTTATGGTAACTATTCAAACCATTTATTACTCACAACGATACAGCTATTTTACATTAAAACAGGTTGGATTTTTGCGCCTCAACTGAATTCCCCGTTTTTTCCACACACACGGGTGAAATTTACCAAGACCACGTCTCAGCATAAGTTAACTACAGTTAAAGCTTCCTAGATCTTACGGTTATTAGTCATTCAGTCAGCCCAACCGTCTTATATATAAAGACTAGCGGATATTCCCCGGCCTTGCCCATGGCAAGTTATTTTCTTAAAATTTAACATATTACCTTTTTAGCCACTACCTGATCATGGAAAAATCAAATTTATCCAAACTATCTCAAGTTAAATTCACCTAGATCATTCAAAACGAGTTTGAAGTCGATCGAACGGTAAACAAATAACTATAATACATATCTTTTACCCGCTTGTTCCACACTTGTGGGTGGAATTTGACAAAAATCACGTCTTACCGAGGACATTCATTATATAGGGTAATTACAGTAAAAGCTTTTTAACTCTTACGATTAGCTCCGTGCTTTGATCAATCAATCAGTCAATCAATCAGTCAATCAATCAGTCAGGATGTATAGAGGAGATATATAGATGTGCTTCAAAAGATATTTGGCTTTAATTTTTTACTTTTTCAATAAAAGTTATGCGATAACTTTTATAAATAACTTAAACTGAAAAAGTTGAAAATAACTTTTCACTTGAAAGAAGAAATATCAAAAAAAAACTGTTATAATAGTTATATTGACGAAAAGTGGAAAATAATTGTGAAAGTCGAATTTTTATTTTTGCATTCATAATAATTACGTGTCCTGCTTTAATGAATATAACACGAAATTCTACTGATCGCAGAGCTCTCAAATCTTGTGAAATTGAATTGTGAATTGTGAGTAAGTGAACAATATTAGTTAATCCATCGTGTTGTGCTCGGGCTGGCACATGGCACATGGCTCCAGTGTCGCCGCTCGGCGCAGCCAAAAGGTAATTCAATAAGCAAATCGCATTTCCGCCGCTGAAAGTTGCCTTACTCCGGTTGGCATGCGACGCGACGCGTCGGCATTTGGCGCATTTTAGCCCGGTGGCATCGCATTGACACCTCGTCAAAAGTTTGCAAAGCATTTGGCCCCCCTCCGTCTTGCTGCACTTCGTCCGGGCCTGCTAACTGGTTTAGTGCAAATTTAGTATTAGCCCAGCGCTCAATTTCACACAGAAATTAAATTACAGATGCGTCAAAGTGCAGCGACGGGCTGCAATGTGGCTTGTCGAGTGGGGCATGCAGCACGGGGCACGGGGCACGGGGCACGGGTTGGGGGCAAGCAAATGAGCGAACAACTCGTTAGTTTTTTGCGTCTTGAAACTTTTTTAATATTTACATTCATATTTTGCACCTTTGGCTGCGCCAACGCTGCTAGCTCGTACTTTTTTCTCCTTGTTCCATTTTTATTTTTAGTTCTTGGCCCGTTTTTTTATTGCTGCCTGCTGCCGGCTGCCTGGGCGGCAAGGGGCGTGCCGGGCGGCCGGTTGGCCATGCCATAAATTCGTGTTTGTGTTGAAAATTGCATTTGCCTTCACTTTGGAGAAAACTGAGGGCCATATTGGCCGCGCCTAAAAGCAGGCAGCGGAAAATTGTAAAACTGTGCGCCGCACATAATCAAGTTAACAGAGTTGGGCAGCCAACCCCCAAGCACCAACCCCAACCCCCCAACCCCCTGTTGTTGATTGCTATTGTTGCAGCACTTAAACTGAACTCCATTTGCTGTTGTTGTGTGCTCTGTGTGTGTGTGTGTGTATAAGTGCTGTGAAATAAATTTGGAAGCAATTTTTGATGTTTTGTTTGGTTGTTATTTGAATTTTGGTATTTTTTTTTTATTTGTTTGCTTGCAGATGTCAACAGCACTTGGAAATGATGCAAATGCAGTGAAATCAAAGCCCCTTGCGCAATTTGCACAAACAACGCATGCGGCAAATAGCCAGAGCAATAGAAATTCAAATGCAAATAGAAACTGTGGTCGTCGCAGCAAAAAAAATACATAAAAAATAAATAACAAAAGCAGCAGCAGCGGCAGCGAATCGAGCAACAGCTGCTGCCAATAACAAACGTCAGCTGCAAAGCGCAAAAACAAGCCGCAGCAGCAACAACAACAACAACGAGAACAACAACGAGAGTAGAGCAGCAGGAACAAAATGAAGAGCCATTTAGGCCCGCTCTTTGTCATTTTGATAATGGCCGCCAAATGCGCCAACGGCTATCCACAGAATCAGCATCACGGTAAGTAGAGCTGGGGCCAGCATTCAATTGGCCCATTGGCCCCACATTAAATTCTAATTCAATTTGTTGCCGCGTGCTGTGCACAGAGTCAAACTCACAGCTGGATCCCGATCCGGAGTTTATTGGCTTCATCAACAATGTGACATATCCGGCTGGTCGCGAGGCCATTTTGGCCTGCTCGGTGCGCAATCTGGGCAAGAACAAAGTAGGTCATCCACAGCCACGTCTAGTTCCTCTCACATCTTCGATTGATCGCGTTTTTTGTGTTTCTTATTGCTCAGGTTGGCTGGCTGCGTGCATCCGATCAAACGGTGCTCGCACTCCAAGGACGCGTCGTGACGCACAACGCCAGGATCAGTGTTATGCATCAGGATATGCACACGTGAGTACACAGTTTTCAGCAATTACTAAGGAATAATCCATAGAGTTTTATTCAAGTATACATTTTTCCCCTCCTCCAATTACTAAGGAATAATCCATAGAGTTTTCAGCCAAGTTTACAATTTTGCTCCCACATTTCCCATACATAAAGTTATTCTATAATTATTATTTAGAGGACTTTGAGCAGTTTTAAAAATCGTTTTAACTTTATATATTCTTTAAATGTGTTTAGTAATGAAGATATAATCTATAAATATATATACAAGTGTTTGTCCTGACTTAAAGGTGTCTTAAGCATGCGAAAGTCAAAAGAGCTGCGAGGTTGAAATTTTTACTGTAGTGTGGTTTGAGTTTGAGTGTGAGCACTAAGACGAAGCTTTACAAAATAGTTGTATGAAAAACAAAAAAACAGACACATAATTGTGCTTTGCAAAGGTGACATAATTGACTTAACAATCGTATAATTGTTTAATTAATTAATTCGAAAGAAAAAAATAATAAAATATGTAAAAACAAAATTAGTGGAAAATAAGTGGGCTTTACAGTAATTATTAAAATTTGTCCTTCGTTTTGATTGTTTTGTTTTTAACTACAATGCTGTCAGGCGTACTTCTTGGCAGAAACTCATCATCAAATCCAACCCCGTCGAAAATTTCCCGTCACTATATTTGTAATATTATATATCCATTCTATAAATATATCTTATAAACTAGTTGATGGTATTTTAATTTTGCCCAGAAGAAGACGAAGGGGTTAGATCTCATTCAGCTTTTCGTTGCAATTGATTTGCAATTAATAATTGTGTACGGAAGAGAATATTGTGGAGCGAATTGCACCAGAAATTTCGGTTTCACTTACATTTTCAACATTATTCACTTGACTTCGCCGACGACGGGCAATTTGTTATGTGTGCAATAGAGAAAATGGGGCTGTTGTTTTTTTTTTGTTATTTGTTAAATGAAAAATTGACAGGGATGCGCGGAAAAATTGGCTCACAAATTGTACTGGCCAAACCAGAAAGCACACGAACAAAGAACCGTCGGGAAATGTTAGAATTTAATAAATATTAACTCAGATCACTTTGTTCGTTACCTTCTGATCTCTTCCAAGCGAAAGACTCCGACACTAGAGTGTGTAGTTAGAATGTTGTTTAGCTTAGATTGAAAGAGTATCTACAATAAAGAGAGATTGTGATTCACCTGGCGATTCACCTTCGGATAACGCGATAGCCAGTCGGCGATCTTCACCTTTCTTCTACGGATATTGCGTTCGACGGGAGGTCGGCTACCTGGCTTAGCTTGAACTATTCTTAGTCGATGAAGCTGGTCTGCTGCTGATTCCTTGCCCCAGACTTCAGTCATCAGCATCGTTTTGATGAGCGGCGCCTTTGTAGATTTGGGATTTCAGTAGACAGTCGAGATACCACAGATTCTGAACTAAGCTATCTTTGATTTACTTTAACCAATTAAGGCGCAGGTGGCATTTACTTTTGCTTAAAACAGCTTAAAACTAGATAACAATTAAGAACCAGATAACAATTAAATTCAATTTGCATTAGTTAAAGTAGGGCTGTCCCGTCGGCTGACGTCGAGCTGGGTAGCAGGGGAGGCTGACTTAATCAGGAAACTAGCTGGTCGATTTTTGTGGTTAATTTGAGGGTCATTTTGTCGACTGGAGTGAAATTATAAGTGATCAACCACAGGAGCCAAGCTCAGGCTCAGTTTCCATGAACATTCAGTTACTTAAACTGGCCTTAAACTGGTTTTAAATTTAACTTGTCTATCTCAGAAAGTTTGCTTCTTTGGTAGGGCTCAAATTTATTCATATTTCAATGTGACATCTAACCAAAATTGGCATCTACCAAATATGGTTGGAGGCCAAGCTCTGCTGCTGGGATTCCCTCAAAACTTGTTTACTTTGAACTATAAAATTAAACATAAACCACCTTACCTATCTAGCTTGATATAATTCTTCATAGTACAAAATAAGTTGGAACTCAGAGCTCGAATTTGGTTTGGTTCAAACCCGATTTGCAGGCTTGATAAGATATTTTACTTACTCCATCTAAATAGTGTAACTTCTTGTTTCCCGACTGTGTTGAGTATTGTAGAAAATGATGGTTTAATTGTTGTTAATTATAATTTTTAATTGTTGTGTAATTGTAATTAGCTGGAAGCTGAAGATCAGCAAGCTGCGGGAAAGCGATCGCGGCTGCTACATGTGCCAGATAAACACGAGTCCCATGAAGAAGCAGGTGGGCTGCATCGACGTGCAAGGTGCATATTTGGGAACTGTTTAATTATAAAGCAGATAATACGAATATTGAGTGCTTACAGTGCCGCCAGACATAATTAACGAGGACTCCTCGGCGGATCTGGCCGTGCAGGAGGGCGAGGATGCGACGCTCACATGCAAGGCCACGGGCAATCCGCAGCCGCGCGTCATCTGGCGACGCGAGGACGGCGAAATGATTCTCATACGCAAGCCGGGCAGCCGGGAGCTCATGAAAGGTGAGTTCGGCCCACAAGTGCCACAATAAAAAGCCCGAAACTAACACTCAGACACAATCTGCAAAAACACAGTGGAAACCTACAATGGCTCCTCGCTGAGATTGCTGCGCCTGGAGCGGCGCCAGATGGGCGCCTACCTGTGCATTGCGTCCAACGATGTCCCGCCGGCCGTCAGCAAACGGGTCTCGCTCAGCGTTCAATGTAAGTCCTCCTCCGTCTCCCTCTCCCTCTCCCTCTCTGGGCAGGCCCGTTCAAGTGCAGCATTTGCTTTCTACTCCCTCACAGTTGCGCCCATGGTGCGTGCTCCTAGCCAGCTGCTGGGCACGCCGCTCGGCTCCGATGTGCAGCTGGAGTGCCAGGTGGAGGCATCGCCGTCGCCCGTCTCCTACTGGCTGAAGGGGGCGCGCACATCGAATGGCTTTGCCAGCATTTCGACGTCCAGCCTGGAGGCGGGCTCGCCCGGACCCGAAATGCTCCTGGACGGGTGAGTAGCTAAAAGTCCATTGTTTTTTTGGCGCACAACAACACAATGACCTGTCCCAAATTCACAAATTCCAGGCCCAAATACGGCATCACCGAGAAGCGCGATGGCTATCGCGGCGTCATGCTGCTGGTGGTGCGCTCCTTTTCCCCCTCCGATGTGGGCACCTATCACTGTGTCAGCACAAATTCGCTGGGCCGTGCCGAGGGCACGCTGCGGTTATACGGTGCGTATGCGTTATCTGCCAGCTATACATACCCAGGGGAATTTTGTCTAACCTTTGACCTTGCAGAAATCAAGCTACATCCGGGCGCCTCGTCCAGCAACGATGAGCACCACAATTTCATAGGCGGTAAGCTCCACAATGCTCTCCAATTCTCAAAGCCAATTACTGATTTCTGATTTCTGATTTCTCTGCTGCCAGCAGGTCTCGAGGAGGCGGCGCGCAATCTGGCCGCCTCCAGGCAGGCCGTGCGGCTCCTCCAGCCGCCCCTCGCCCTGTTGCTTTGGGCGTGGCATAGCGCGTGATATCAAAACTGAGCGAGAGCCGGCAAACAAGTATTCCTACAGGTGTTATCCAGCCCTTGAGCCCCCGCACCCGCGCCCGCACCCCATCCACGATCGAATGTGTTGCTTACGCTCCCGCTCAAACACCCTACCGCCACCCCCTCCCGCTCCGCCGCGCTTTTGTTTGTTTTTTATTTAGGCTTCCTTGTTTTGATTTCGTGGCATCGATAAACGCAACATATTGCTACACATATTGCCAGAGCGCTGTGGGCAGCCGCCGCCACGCCCCTCCAACCCCATATCATTCACATACGTATCGCGCAAATTGTTGTTCAGCCCCCCGACCCCCTCGTTCCAAGATAATGAAATGCAAAAAGTCCCGAAAAAAAGTATGTCGCATAATGTTACATTGCATATAAATTAAACACGAATACTATAAAATAGTGCATAAATATATTTAACGAAAATTATTGAATAAATTATCGCAAAACTTATGCAAATGTTTTTCTACTTATTTTTTTTTTTTTTTGCTTTAATTAATTCGACGGGTTTGCCAGGCAGCGCTTTGTGCGCCATTGGCCGTTCATATCGATCCACTGGCTGGCCACTAAACGGTAGATATAGCGGAAATATATGTTTATTCAGATATATATATATCGATTGGGTAAGTAGCCTACCCCAGCGAGTGCCCAGGAGAAGCGGACAGGCGGCGTGCAGCGTCCGTCTGTCGCACTCGGCCGCATTGTTCATATTGTGCCAGATCAGGGCCGAGCCTTTGCTCGGCTTCACGGCCAGGCCCAGGACAGGGAAGGATGTGAGTCCGCCGAGCTGCACATCGGTCAGCTGCAAGCACATAAAAGCAGAGAAGAGGGGGAAACCCGGGCAATAGAAAGCAAAGGGGGGCGCAGAGGGAGGGCCACACTAAAATGGGAATAAAGCCCTCAACTTACGTAGAGCAAAATGGTGGCAATGCGATTATCCTTGATGAAAACACGATGGGCAGCCTGCCAAAAAAGCAAATACTCAAAGTTAGATTTACATAAGCAAAGGACATTCATAAACAATTAAAAAAGTGACCGTGGAGAGGAGACTCTACCAACTCATATCCTGTAAGTCCAAGTATCCTTATCCACAATTTACAGATATCTTTATATTAAAGAAGTAAGAAGTAGAGCGGGCAGTGCCTGACTAGCAAATACCCTGTACCAAAGGCAGTTAAAATAATCTCTATATATAAAACTGTTTGTCCTGACTGACTGACTGACTGATTGGTGATCAACGCACAGCCCAAACCGTAAGAGCTAGGAAGCTGAAATTTTCACTGTAGTTACCTTATGTAATGTAGGTGCACGTTAAGACGGGGTTTCGGGAAATTCCACCCGCAAGTGTAGCAAAATCGCGAAAAAAGTTTGTATGTATCTTTTTTGTTTACAGTCAGTCAGTCAATCAGGGAGGCTAAAGTGATGTAAGATAGAAGGTAGAGACAGACTTGGAACTCACATCGTCCTGGTCGAACCAGCAATCGAAGTGCATGTAGTACTGCCCGCCAATGCCGTAGTTGAGCACTGCCAGCTGGCCGCTGTTGGTCAGATCGAAGCCGGACATGTCCTCGAGGCGCTGGCGCAGGCGCTCTCCCCGGCGGGATTTGTTGTAGGAGTAGCCCGCATTCATGGCAAAGCGTTGGGCAGCCGCCCTGCCTGCGCCCACACGGGCGCGACGCAAATAGGGTTTGGTCAGTCGCATGATGTCCTCGCGCTCGTTGGCCTGGACGACATCGTGGTAGAGTACCACATAGGGATCAAGGCTCAGCTGCTCGAGCTTGAGTGGCGCTAGGCGGAGAAAGGGCGTGGTCGCCGTATTCAAGCGACAGCGCAGCGAGGAGCTGACGAGCGGAGGACTCTGCCCGCGACAAAGGCGCAAGTGCATGAGATGCTGCTTGGCGGCCGCAATGGCAGCCAGAGCTTCCTTTTTGTCCTGCGCTCTGGTGGCGTGCTCTAACACCTGTTCATAGGTGGACCCCGCGGCTGGCCAATTGTCTGCAAGCGAACGATCGGTTCAAGCGGCAGATTTGACTTTATTTTGGAATAACAACTAACCCCTGGAAATTTGAATGTGTGCTAGTTCGCGCAATATCTCCGTCCGGTCGATCTTCAGCAGCTGATAAACGCGCTCCGGCGTGCCTGGGTACTGCTCCAGCGCCAGCTCCAGCCACCGGATGGCCTGCTCGTCCTCCCCGCGCTTGCGCAGATGCCGTGCCACGGCCACGCAGTCCAGGGTGCTCAGCTTGGCGCTGCAATGAGAGATTGGAGTCGTAGCCGTGTCTGGAGTCTGGAGACCTACTTGTATTGCTTCTGGCTGAGCTGCCCGTGCACCATGTGCCGCTCGTCCAGCTCATAGACCTGCTGTATGCGCAGCAGGCCCTTGATCGCCTCCTCCTGATCCGCCTCGCTAATCACATCCAGGCGATAGTCCGATATCTTTTGCAGATCTGTGGACAACTCGCGTCAAATATCAGTCGAGGCATCTTCCGCCGCCATTTTCCACCCACCTGCACCCGGTTCCAGCTTCATGCATTTCAAGATTCTGCCCGCATCCATGTGCATGCGCCGCACCAAGGGCAGACTGTTCAGAGGATTGGCCACATAAGCCTCCGCATCAACTCTGGCCTCCTGCTGCCGCTTGATCGCATCATCCAGAATCCTATATATATACATATATATATATAAATATATAGTTATACGATCTATTGCTATTGCTCTACTTACAATCGGGTTATCTTCACCTTGCGCTCCAAAGCGGCCACATAGAGGCGCAAATCCGTGAGCAGATCGTTCTCGCCTTGGAGCACTCGCGCCATGTCATGCGTTGACGTGGCCACAGAGTTCTCAACCACGGCCTGTTTTAGGAGGAGGAGCAGCAGCAGCAGCAAGTAGCTAGACAACATTTTGTATGCAAGTTTTCCACAGAAATAAATACGCGAGACTGGCCTCGGCTTTCAGCGCGGAATACCCCTAACGAATTGATTAACCGTTTTAATCGCCGTATCTGAAAATATGGAGCTAGAAAACTTGGACGGGAATAAGCCAGAAATGAAGCAATATTGTAAAAATAGTTCCCTTCGAAGATGATATTAAATTAAGTTCTTTGAGTAAGATATTACAGGGTCTTACTTAAAGTCTTAGAATGCTTGGATTCCTGGATAAATTTGAAAGTCTTATTTGCAATAGACTATTAGAGTTTCAATGTTCATTATTGTAATGTAGTTATTTAGGTAAATAATTATATTCTATCGTTTATGTTAACAAGTCGAAAAATTGTATGCCTTTCCTCATGAAATGAGAATTGCAACGAAGGGCGATATTTATAGATTTAATTTTCATTATTATCATGTAGGAACTAATATATATCATTCTTATTATTTATTATTTTGACAAGCAAGTTTCATCAAAAAATAACATTAACAGGTCGAAACACCCCGAGGAGGTGAGAATTGCATAGAAGGGCGATGTTTGTGGAGGAGACAGCAAGTTAAAGTGCGCTAAAGGAGTGCGGAAAAGAGAAAGCGAATTAGAAAAACAAATCAAGTGAGCTCTAGGATGGGCAGCCTGGAACTTTCTTAAAATAGATATGCTCTAAAACACACACCCACACACGCGAAAGGTGGAATGGGGAGAGGCATCAGGCATAAAAAGTGATATACTTTACGAAACCCTAAATATCAATGCTTAATGAACCAGGTCTCGAAATCGATATTTATCGATTCTAGCCAAAGATTAATAGAGAAAGATTCCTTACTGAGAACGTGTTATGCAGCTGAACAAATAAAATGCATGGAGACATTATCTTGAAAAAATTGCGATTGAAAATTCTTGGTTTTCAACAGATTTCACTCTGAAGTGTTTGCCCTTTGGCTGAATGTGAGGTCGCTGTCAAGTGCTTGTCAAAGCTATTTAACTGTCGCACACTCTGGACTGAACCAAAGGTGATCAATATGAAGTCTAAATATTTACAAATTCAACAGTCGCATGTTTGGCAGACGCTTTTTGATACCCTTGCTGAGGGTGCTATAATTTTGTCGTGAAATGTGTAACGCATAGAAGGAGACATCTCCTACGCCAGAAAGTATATATATTCTTGATCAGTACCAACAGCCGAGTCGATATAGCCAACTTTTTTGTTTGTTTAGATATCTTGACCAAACTCGGCAATTATAGGTCTCACTATGCTCCCTACATTTAAGCAAAATCTTATATACATCGGACCACTATATCATGTAGCTGCAATAGGAACGATCGGTCGAAAGTAGGTTCTTATTTGAAAAACATTTTGGTTTCTCAAGATATCTTGACCAAACTCGGCATTTAGTAGATTAACTATGCTCCTCATATATATGCAAAATCCCAATAACATCGGACCACTATATCATGTAGCTGCAATAGGAACGATCAGTCGAAAGTAGGTTCTTATGTGAAAAACTTTTTTGTTTTTCAAGATATCTTGACCAAACTCGGCATTTATTAGTTTTACTATGCTCCCCATATATATGCAAAATCCCAATATCATCGGACCACTATATCATGTAGCTGCAATAGGAACGATCGGTCGAAAATTAAGTTATATGAAATACTTTGTTGTTTCTCAAGATATCTTAACCATACTCGGCATTATCTATTTTCCCTGTGCTTCTTAGATACGGGCAGAGCACTAGAGCATTATGAAAAAGTTGGGTCTGCAAGGGTATTATATCTTCGACGTGCCGAAGTTAGCTCTTCTTTCTGGTTACATTTGTTTTACATTTTTATATTTTCTCCTTTTTCATTTTTTGTTGACACAGCATTTTATGTCAAGCAAGTGCAGATGTTTGGCTGGCGAGCTTGAGAGATTTTGTTTTCGAAAATCTCCATATTCTTGTTGATTTGCCGCTGACTGTTGCAAGTTGGAAAAGTTCTCCCTCTCACCTGCTAGGAGCATCATCAAGATGGACGTTGAGGGCGCCCAACGCAAACAGAAGACCTCGCCACGTAACGAGCCGTATGTCCATCCGGTGAATGGGATTGTGCAGCCGCCAGTTATGCCGCCGCCGGGGAGACGAGGACGGAGAACGAATGTGCTGGAGAGCCTGAAGTCGGTGCTGAAGTATGTGTGGAAGAGCCGCTGGTCGTACTATTTCCGATATCCGGTGGATGCAGTTGCTCTCTGCATACCGGACTATCACAATTTGATAAAGCATCCGATGGACCTGAGCACCATACGGCGGCGGCTGAACAACAACTACTACTGGAAGTCGGACGAGGCGCTGGGCGACTTTGAGCTGATCTTCGAGAACTGCATGCTCTACAATCTGGAGGGCAGCGAGGTGCACAAGGCCGGCAAGGAGCTGCGCGAGGCCTTCTACACGCGCCTCTCCTACATCGACATGAGCAACGAGACCGAGCTGATTCCCCAGGCCGTGCTCAGGAAACGCAAGGCCGAGTCCATGATGCAGATGAATCCAATCTATGAGAGCGTGACACCGGCTACTCCTAAGCTGCCCAAACAGAGTACGGAAACTATTTGGTCACCAGCCGAACCGGAGATTTACACTGAGCCCGAACTCTACTCGGAGCCCATCAAGTTCGAGGTGAATCCAACCACACTGTTCGAGTGGCAGAACTATCTGGTCGAGAAGAGCCACTCGGAGCAGCTGCTCCGTGCGATGACCAAGCGCAAGCGGAACCTGGTCAATTGGCCCTTCAAGTGCTGCGACCTGTGGCGCGAATATGCCCAGAATCTGCATTACGATCACGATGCGGAGGAGAAGCTGGACTGGGATATTCTCAGGAACAGGCTCGAGAACAATCAATTCGATAGCTTTGAGGAGTTCGTGGACAAGTTGCGAGTTATGTTCCAGAACGCTTTGACCTGTTTTCCCGTTGATGAAACCTTGATCGAAGCGGTGAATGAGATAAATGATATTCTGGAGTCTCGTTTGGAAGATTTTAAAAATTCTATTGCCGAAATGAAGCAGCGGGTGCGACAATTGGTTACCAAGAAACTTCAAACTTACAACGCAATTATTGCCCAGCAAACAAGCTTAATTAATTCCGAAGAGAATTTTTCATATGCGCACGAATGTTGTGAATAATATTATAATCAAGTTGGGTGATGTTTCAAGTTCTTGTAATAAAAGAAAAATAAATCCCTCCAAAATTCAAATGCAAAACTGTTTTTGGAGTCCTCGTAACAGTCCGCCAGGTGTCGCTACAGTTAACACTGCGATTTCTACTTAACATCACCAATTGAGCTAGTAGTTGTTGTTGGCTAAAATAAATTGTGGACAAAAAAACAACTTACAGCCTTTAAGTCTTTCTGTAATAATTTTTTATTTTCAAATAGTAAATTATTATTGTCTTTAAAAAAGTGCGATTTTATTTCTTGCGATACTATCGATAATTCAGTATCTGCGCAGAGTGGAATTTTCAATATCGATACGCGATAATATCTGGCAACTGCGAGCGTACAGAAGCTCCTCGAGAAATTTCGTTAAAAATCGGGCAAATGTCGCAAAAAATTGATAATTTGTTGTGAAAAGTGTTTATTAGTGTTGTATGAAGTGCATAGTTATTAAAATTGCATTATCAAATGCTTTAAAATGTGAAGTAAAAAGCTGAAAACCTGATTTGTGAAGAGGTAGCCTTTTTTTCATCATCGTAAAATACATACAGACATTCTCTCACACACACGCAACTGTATATATGTATAAATAACGCGCGGGCGCGAGAGAGAGAAAGAGCGTAAGCTAGTGTTGAATGTGTGCTTGTGTGCGTGAGTGTTCATTGCGCTGTTTTATGTTTCGTCAATGAGAGAGCAAGCGCGCCAAGCAGGCGAATGCGAGAGCAAAGCAAAAACCAACAAATAAGTGAACGAAAATAAAAACGAAAAATACCGAATATCGAACAAGTCGTGTGCATTGAATGTTGAATGTTTAATTTTGTGTGTGCGTTTGTGCAATTGTGCAAGGCGAATTATGTTTTAACATCAACCCAAAATAGTTGGATACATAGCAACAACAATTTAAGGAACAACTACATCAAAAGGTAAATACACAATTTTACGGCCAGGCGTTGTCGGCGCATTTGTTTTGACCGATGAGTCAGACCTCGCGTTTTGTTTTTTTTTCCTTATGTAGTCATCGAATCGCATCGTTTCTAACAAATGCATTTTGACACTTAAACTAACACCTCATTTACATGCATAAATACGTACATTTACTTAAATTCGTACATACATAGTTAGATTATTGTCATGTATAATTGTTGTAGTTAGTTTACACTGACTGTAGCCAAAGCCTACAAATTATACGGTTAAATGTATCTAAATACATTTTTATCTACGTCGTTTCGTTATTTAAAAACATACGTGCATTATTAAATACTATAGAAAGCAAGTTGGACAACAACAACGGTAGTCGGTACACACACACACACACAGTCATCGGGAGCGAGAGAGCGAAAAATAGAGAGCGCAGTAACTAACAAACCAATAAAACAGCATCAACAAATAACAGTTTAATGTGTCTAGTGAGTACCTACAGTTAATTGTTTTTGTTGTCGTGGCTCTCATTTTAAATCAAATGTTAGCTTCTCTCTCTCTGTCTCTCCCACATTTCGCCCTAGCACGCACCAAAGCGGCCAAGTGCTTGTATTTATAACTAAAATTGCGCTGATCGTTTGCGTTGCTGTTAAAACTTTTTAATAAATTATGTGCATACACAGACACATACATACATACACATGCACAATATGTGTATAATAAAATGAAAAACAGGCAAATCGATTGGCCCGAGTTGTTTTGCTTACGACAGCTCGACGCTGTCATTGCTGTTGTTGTTTCTCTCTCAGTCCTGTTATTGTTGTTATTGCTGTTGTCTGTGTCGTGGACGGCTGCGGCTGCTGCGGCCGCTGATGATAATTTTTTGATGAATAATTACGAAATATTTTTTACGTGTTTCTATTATATTTATTTGCATAGGCTATGTGTGTGTTTGTGTCCCTCTCTCGCGTGCTCTCTTGACACCATCTTTGCTTTGGCATTTTTTGTCGATCAAAAAACTGCGAATTCCGAATCTGAAGTGTGTGAGCGTGAGAAACTAAGCGCAAAATGAGTAATTGCTCATAGTGTATGTATGTATGTATGCACATGTGTGCATGTATTAGTTTATTTGCAAATTTGCCTTTCAAAGTTAACAGCGGCCAGTGGGCCGTAGGCTAATGCCTGAAATATTGAAACGTCGCAAATTTGTTGCCGTCTGTTTTTACGCTCTGCTGAACTGACGCAACGGCAACTGCAACAGTAGTCAACTTAACGCACACACCTCGCAAATGTGCCAAAGTTATTTACATTGCCAGGCAAAATATTAGTTTACGTTTATATTAAACATTCTGCCGAAATTTTGCAGTGCGTGCAGCAGCTGCTGCCACTTGAAAAGAACCCACCACCACCATCACACATAATTACCAACGCCACCGCTAACAAAAGCAAATCAAACTAGAGCTGGGTCGTGTCTTCATTCGTGACACGAATACGCACGTCTCAATTAGATCAAAATTATAGTAGTATTAAACTTGAATTTAAAAATAAAAACATATTTATTAGTTTCTTAAATTATTGTGTACTTGTTTTTTTTTTTTATTATTGTGAAGCATGCTCGTGTCGTGTATGAAAATTCGTTCATCTGATTTGCCGAACTGTAAATCAAACAGTAGCGGAGCAACATCTAATATTGGCTGCTGCTGCTGCGTTCGATGTTCTTGTTGTATTTGTGTTCGTGGCAATTAAGCATCAAACTGCGTTTCACGCTCAGCTTTTAGTGCTCATTCATACCCTCCTCAAACACATATATACGTACCCACATATTGGCGCGCACATTTTCTTTTACCTTTGCTGCGTGTTTTGATTTGAACGTCTTTTTGGGCACCTCATTCACCTATGCCGAACTCGCACACACACACACGTACACACTCTCTCTCACACCCCCGCAAATTCTCTCTCATGCTCGTTAATTGGCCCCCACCTTCGCTTCGACTTGTCCTCGGCACCCATGTTTACTCTCCCTCTCTCGTTCTCTCGCCCGCTCTTTTTTATTTCTGGTCGGGACACATTTGTTGCTTGTTGTCTTTTGCTGCTTAATTCAACTTCTTCAGCTGCTCCGCTTGGCCTGTTTGGCTTTCTCTTGTTCGGCTCCATTGCGCTCTTATTTACACTGGTCTTTGGTCTCATTTTTCTTGTTGTCTTGCTGGTCTGGCCTACACATAAATACATACATATATATAATTTTGGCATTTTTGCATAATTTTATGCCAATTTACATACCAACATGTGTGTATGGGTGTGCATATTTTGTTGCGCTCATTTTGCACACATACGCATGTATCTATTTAGAAGCTCGGCGTGCATTCGTGTTGGTGTTATGATTGTCGTGCTCACGATTTTAATCGTTCGTCAGTCGATTCGGTATTCAATCGACATCTCGCTTGGCATCGTTGTTGATGTTGTTATTGTTGTTAGCCGCTTGCCTGTCTGGTCTGCTCCCTCCTCTGTTGCTGTCGCTGCTTGACTTTAATCTGCTCAATTACTCGCAATTTGCAAGTTGTGTGTGCGGCTCTTTGAGTATGTCGCTGTCGCTGTCTCTGTCTATGCCGTTGCCTACCTGTCTGAGCGTGTGTGCGTGTGGTTGTGCCTGTGCGTGGCTGTGTGACAGTCTGTCTGTCTGTACACATTTCGTTTCGTTTTGCTTCTCATTCGCCTTATTCATGTTTTTGTACGTTTTGCGCTTGTTTTGATTTCTTAATCTTTTTACCATAATTGATGGCAATTAAATTAAAGGTGTGTGTGCGGCCTCGCGCCTCGACGTCGTTGTCGCTGTCGCTGTCGTTTTAGCTCGGCTGATGCTTCGGTTCGGTTCGCCTCGGCTCGGCTCGGTTTCGCTCGCACGAATCGCCCCGTTCGCTTGTCGGTCGCTGGAGATTGTTGTTTATATGTATGTACATATGTATGCAGTTTGTTGTCAGCCCCCGCCAGCAACTCCACCTTCATCTCCACCTTGCGCCACACACCTCGCACCTCGCGTGACTTTTATTTATTTGTAGCATTCAAATGATTCCCATCATTTGCTTATGTTGTACCCTTTACAAGGGTATTCTAATTTGGTCACGAAATGTGTAACGCATTCTTGTAGCTGCGAGTAAATCAGCTGTCGGGTTCGACCAAGTTCAAGACAGTGTATAATGGCTGCTATTTAGAACAATCGTATAAAATTGACAAATTTCATTCCGTTCTAGTTGTCAGTAAAACAAATTTAATATTAATCTCGATTGGAAATTACACCTGTTCAGAAATTATATTCAGACCTTATTTGAATGCATGTAAATCTTTAACAAAAACAATTAAATAAAAATTAAAATAGACCTTCGGAAAGCTACCCATTAAAATCGGGCTAAAACGTGGTTGCTGAAAAAAACTGAGGTAGTGTTTTCTATTGACCTACGGATCTGTCTTTAAAAAAAGATGCCTTTTGTAAGCATTAAATGTAATGTAAATGAAATATATCTATATTTTTAACTATAGATTGGATATTAAATTAGATATTTTCGCAAATTAAAGTTATCTTTGCCCAGTCCTAAGTTGGGAATTTGAAAATTTGTCGACATTTAACCTAACTAAGGTCTACATCTAGATTCTAAAAAATATAATTACTCTTGATCGTTCTCTTCGCCCCCCTCCGGGCCGGCACATCCTTGTATAGTAAGACTCATTCCCCATCTGGAATAACAGGGTATATCTTAGTGGTTATTCTCTGATTGCGTTGCTTTGACATGCTTTGTATCTATTGCCGTGTGCGCATTTTTGATGGCCATCCACTCGGATTTTGTCATCTTTAGCGAGATTTTATTGATTAGTTCAATATTCCTGCGCTTGACAGCGGCTGTCAGTGCCATGTGGCATGCATATATATGTATGTATGTATGTATAATAATAGCGATTTACTTAATTAATGTCAACGACACGCTGTTATTAATTCTAGTTTGCCAGTTTTATGTGTCACCGTGTGTTCAATTTGCAATTTAAAGCGTAGTTTTTAGTTTGCCGCTTGTAGCTTGTAGCTTGTGTGGCGAGCGACTCGGGAGAGTATTAAATTGTTGACAATTGTTTTGAGCTTGAGCGAATTAACCTTTAGTTTGTTATGTCATCTGTCATGTTAGTCGGCCAACAGTTGAATATGTGCATCATGATTCCAATTTTCTTCACATGTATTTAATACTTATTAGTATTCCCATTGTTATTTAATTGTTATAGATCCTATCTCACAATTAAAATAATTTGCATACGCTCATCGTGATAACGTCATCTAACGTTGCCCAACCAAACAATCCGAATACAACCCTTACACTTACCCACAGTGTTTCTGTTGTGCCTGACGCAGATAGCGATCCCTCGTGCAACCTGGATGCAATCAATTAATACTAGAATACCGGGCTGCTAACCACTCTAATATCGTGTAAATAACCACAGTACATGGGGAAATACAATTATCTTAAGAGGGTGGCAAAGTAAATACCCCTTGTAGATGACAAGAACTTAAGTTCCCAACTATTGCATGCGAGAGAGAATGCGAGAGTTGTAGAAAAGTAGGACTCTAAAATGTATTAGTCCGTTAGTGGAGCAGTCGCTGTATATGTACGTAATTTACGTAGGTAACAAAACATATATTTGAGCATGTTAAACCTGATCTTCGAGTATATATTAAGCAC